ATTGGTTAACATATGAAAAACGTCACATTTTGACACGTGAAAAAATAATCAAGTTGATTTTGGTTTGCCATTCTTCCACATTTGATAAATTACAATGCTTTTTTCGATTCAAATTTCTGATTGATTATTAATCTCTCCGATGAATTTTTTTCTTGTTGATGTAGCTTACAGTTTAATTGAATTGCTCAAGAAAGTTATGACAAGCATAAAAAATGTTATATTCATTGATGTATAACAAGAACTTATGATCATACCAGCTGTTTTTGGATGAAAAGTTCGGTTCTAGAAACATTTGTCCCCGATATTACAGGGACAGGCCTGGTTTAGTGAAACAGATTACCAGAAATAAACAGAGAGAATAGAGGAAATTCAAAGTGGTGGAAAGCGGTGAAAAGTTGGATCTGAAGATGTTGCGTGCAAAATGTGAAAGCCCAAGATTGAACCCAAGTGCATTTTCGATTTTCTAACTTAGCCGCTCCCGAGAGTTTTTCAATTTATTTGTTTGGTCATCCCTGATGTAAAGAACATAGTGCTCTTCTGAAATATTAACCATTCAGTCTTCAGCAGTTTTTAGTAGACATAAAAAAACCAAGAACTGCGAAAATGGAAAAGCTGTGAATATGATGGAATAAGTATCCCAACTTTCGCCCTACACAAAAGTCCTCGCAATGCGATATAAATGATGTCTTTACTCCTTGACNACAATAGAAGAATTTTCAAATATGAAAGATTCATTAGTTTGCAACTAAGTTGCAAAGACATACTGCACAGTATATAGCTGAAGAAATGGGTAAGATAATTGAAAAATACGGATCAAACAAATTCTTAGTATACGTATCAGAGAATGCAAAAAATATGCAACTTGCTGGAATTAAACTAAAGGAGAAATATGGTATTATTCCATATGGTTGTCTTTCCCATGGTCTTAATTTGTTATGTAATGATTTGCATACCCTAAATATAGTAAAGTAAAAGGAGTCTGTAACAATATTACAAAATCTATGTAATCTCAATAGCGGATTTTAGCAAGTGTACATAATTAACTGAATATCTTTACAGATATTCCGTTTTTTTATTTAGTCACTTTGAAAACAACAAACCTACTCAGTAGCACTTTTAGAAATTTTCAAGCCAGTAAATAGGTACATTTACAGTGGGTGTTAACATTTCTCAACAAATCTACTTCTATAATTTCTAATCAATTTTCCAAAAGGTTTATTACTAAACTAGAGTTCTCAATTTTTATGTTTTTTTCCTTTTTTTTTAAAATACATACTGACTGACAAATCCTAGACATGTAAATGACGAAGGGAAATTTTCTATAAAATCGTTTGTTTGAATATTTAATTGAACTCATGTTATTAATTTTTCCTAATAACACACACTTCTTTTCCAGTGATCTTGAAAGTAGAAGAGAAGTAAAGAAGGAAGAAGGGGAAGCCTTTGCCCGTGAACATGGTTTAGTCTTCATGGAAACATCTGCTAAAACTGCTGCAAATGTAGAAGAAGCATTCATAAATACTGCTAAAGAAATTTATGAAAAAATCCAGGAGGGCGTGTTTGACATTAATAATGAGGTGAGAAAAAAAAAGTTCCGATAAATCCAACTTTTAGAAGCATATTTTTTCCAAAATTCCAAATAAAAAGTACCTACCAAAACTGACATTCTAATAAAACTAATTTGAGATATTTTTTCAAAACTGAGATTATTTGGCAATTGAATAATTACTAACAACAACACAAACAGAGGTATATCCAGAATTTCTGCTTAGAAGGGGAATTTTTCATACTCATTTTTGAATCAACGCGGGCCATCAATAGATACACATGCGAATTTTGTTTCATAATGTCAATTATTTTTCAATCTCTCCAAGATTTATTTTTTATGGATATATGTACCTCTGTAAAGTGTATACCTGCAATTCTGGATACATTCAAAAACTTTCCACAATAACGGGTTCATTATGAATGTTTCCTAAGAAATTGACACCAAAGTATAAACAAACAAAAATAGATATTTTTTCCTTTTCAAAACATGAAGATTGTAAAAATGGAAATCTGACTCTTGATAACAACAGACCTCCCATCTTCAAGGGCGCTGTCCAAAAAAGAACGATTGGGACGTCGCAAAGAAGGTTATCACACCACTGGCAGTTGAATGGACTATCAAGTCTTTTCAGCCCTTCAAATCTCCCGGAGAGGATGGTATATTTCCAGCTCTTCTTCAAAACGGACTGGAAATAATTTTACATATTCTCACAAAATTGTATACAGCTAGTCTGGCGTGGAGCTATATACCACCCAGTTGGTTGGCAACAAGGGTGGTATATATACCTAAAGTGGGTCGGAGAGACCCACACCCTAAATCGGTACGACCAATCAGCTTTACATCCTTCCTGTTGAAAGGACTTGAGAGGATACTGGACGGACATATCAGGAGGGTAGCATTATACGCATCTCCCCTGAATAACCACCAGTATGCTTATCAAACTGGCAAATCGACAGATTTGCCATCCTCGTTGAGAAAATTTCCCAATCCCTTGACAATAAGGAGATTGCGGTTGCTGTATTTCTTGATATTGAAGGAGCATTTGACAATGCACTACCTAAATCTATAGGATTGTCTCTGGCTAGGAAGGGTATAGAATTGACTATAACTGGCTGGATCTATGCCATGCTAGTAAACAGTATGGGATAATGCAGAGCTGAATATAGTAAGTGATCAGGATTTCGGGATTGTGAACATAAACTTTATTTATTGAACTGATACAAAACGCTTCTTAACTACTGACAGTGACAGGCTACACCTTTATCAGAAAAATGAGAATTCAATAGTTACATCTTGTGCTGCCATCTATATGGAACATAATGAAGGATTACATGAGAAAAAAGGTTGTTTGTATAAATACAGAATCGCTAACATTAACAAACAGAACCGCAACTACGAATCTTCAAGGCGAGGCCAGGGTCACCAGGAGCTGCCCCCTCAAGGTGGGGTACTATCTCCCCTTCTGTGGCTGCTCCTGATGGATAGTCTGCTTGATGCCCTCGACAGAAGAAAAGTTGATCTGCAAGCTTATGCAGATGACCTTGTCATCCTGGCAAGGTCCACGTCGGGAAGGGTAGCTTGTATTATCCTCCAAAGCGCGTTGGACGTTGTTCACAGTTGGTGCCTGTGGGAGCAGATGTCTGTCTACCCCAGTGAAACTGTGTTAATCCCCTTCACCAAGAGGAGAAAATTGGACGATCTAACGCCACTCTTCCTCAATGATGAGGTCATTCCATTTGGAACGGGGTGAAATATCTTGCCATTATCTTTGATAAAAGACTCACCTGGAACGCTCACTTGGAAAAAGTTTTACACAAAGCCAGACTGTTTCTATGGACATGCAGGTGTTTTTAGTCGCAGATCCAGGAGAGATATCTACCTGCCTAGGAACTTATGCGACTGTATTTCAAGTGGAAATTTATGCTATTGAATTGTGTGCGTAGAGATTGGATAAATCCAACCTCACACACAAGTCAATTTAAATATACTCGAACAGTCAAGCGGCGTTGGTAGCTCTTGGCTCCTACCGAGCAACGTCTAAATTGGTAGCAAACTGCCAGAAACGACTCTCCTCGATAGGAAGACTTAACAGGTTATCTCTGGCCTGGATTCCTGACCATACAGGCCTGGAAGGCAACGAAGCTGCTGAGTCCCTTGCAAAGGCGAGGGTGCTGCAAGCAGTTTTATCAGACCAGAACCTGTCATTGGCATCGCTTTAGGCTTTGCCAAACAAACTTTGAACACCTGGATGGCAAGAAGATTTATGAACTTCTGGCAGAATCTTCCAGGATTGGCTCATTCCAAGGCGTTTATTCACCCTTCGAAGCTTGATACCAAACGGATATTGGACTACAGTAGGGATGAATTACGATGTCTAACAGGCCTTCTTACAGGTCACTGTCATTTGAATCATCATATGCAGACACTTGGACTGCCGGAAGACCACTCACCATACAAACTAATCGGCTACGTTAAGAAGCTGGGTTTATTTGGTCGAGTGTGAATAGGTGAGCCACAATAAACCCTTGCGGGTTGCGGTGAAGGGTCGAATAGATCCACTCACTTTAGACCTAACCTTACCTATCCGAATACCATGTTTATTGTCTGTCCGGGAACCTACTTTTATTTCAGTAAACAAACTCAGGTATAATTATCATTTTATCTTTTGGAGGTTGGCTCATGTATAGATTTCTTCTTTGAGATCACCTTGGAGAAAAGCAAAAACTGCGTCTATTCGTCGATCATCGTGAGAACTACTTTAGTTAGCTTATGCGCTGTTGAGACCATTTTATTAACATAATCGTCAATGGAGCTAGACTGTTTTAATTTCGTAAATTTTAACACATAGTAGTCCAACTCTTTTCGTTAATTTGTCGAAATGTTTTTCCGAAATTATCCGAAACGGATCAACCGATAAAATCAATTTTGAACGGCACTTAGTGATCTTTTCTGGATCATATCGGCATCTGAAACACAGTCCCATAGCTCCAAACAGTCCAAACTCCTAAATATGACTGTACGGCGAATTTCCGAGTATCAAAATTCTGTCGGACTTTCAGACGCTCCAACGACAATGTTCCGTGTAGACGTAATTGATGAAAATCGAAGCAATGATTACTATTTGGAATAAACAGAATGAACCTTCAAACTATTACAAGAAGACCCATACTGTGATGGAAGGTTGATTTTGGGAAAGTTTTGGATATGAAACAAATTTATTTGTGACAGCCCAAAACTTATATTTGACAAGTAACGATAACTCAACTCTTAACATGTCAAAGTCAACATGACCAATACACAGTGGTTACCAATATATAGGGATATCTACAACAGATACCACAACGATTTGTGAAAACAACCGACCTAACTTTGTTTCACCACAGTGTTTTATAATATACCTAATGTGGTTTTACCATATGATTAACTGACTCGGTTCTAATGTTTCCAATAGACGTCGTATTAGCATTGTCTATAGATTTAGTATTAGGACCACGAACTTCCTTATTACAGATACAAATTACAAAAGTAAAATAGAGTGGCATTCCTGGTTATAGGAGGAAGGAAGAAAAGGCTAGTTTATCGATTGTCTGAAGGCGTATTTTGATTGATGCGCATCTTTCTGCGCGTTAACCATAATAATCACCAGACAGCTGTCATTATTTTGCGGAGTATTTTGGGAAAGAAAAGTTCTAAGTCGTAATTTCTTTGTACATATTTTTTAATTGAAGATGTCCTACGCATATTTATTCAAATATATTATTATCGGAGATACAGGTGAGTCCCAATTCATTTCTCATTTCATTATAAGGACAATCCCATAAATTCAAGATAACAAAGAATTTTTGTCAGATAATAAGTATCCTTTGATAAATTTTCATTTACAGGTGTTGGCAAGTCCTGTTTGTTACTACAATTCACAGACAAGAGATTTCAACCTGTTCATGATCTCACTATTGGAGTAGAATTTGGAGCTCGAATGATAACAATTGATAGCAAACAGATTAAGTTACAAATATGGGATACGGCTGGTCAAGAAGCTTTCCGATCTATCACCCGGTCTTATTATAGAGGTGCAGCTGGAGCTCTCTTAGTATATGATATCACTCGAAGAGAAACCTTCAACCATTTAACCACATGGCTAGATGATGCCAGACAACATTCCAATTCTAATATGGTTATTATGCTGATTGGAAATAAAAGGTTAGTGAAATCTTCTGAGGAAATCCTTCAATTGCAATCAGGTTTCACATTGGCTTTCACAGTGACCTGATGTCAATTTAAATTTAATTCCACACTCGATCCCACACAAACATTGTCAAAATCACAGGTGAATTTATGTACACTTGATCAGCAAGTAACAAGTTTCAGTTATCAATTAGCAAGGAGCAAGTAACGAAAACAATGGCATTTATGATTTCTCAACTAAAAAGTTACAATAAAATAATACAAAACCACTTAAGCTTTCATTGGAAGAAAGAAATCTGTAATATCTACTATTGAATATCTATTATTGTGTATTTTTTTACAGGACACCATCAATTTCCATTTCAGAAACAATAGAAACAAATCATTCAAAAAACTGAAAAAAACAGAAAATCATTACGTTAGGTTGTTCCTCATTTCTACTGTCTGTTCGGAAATGAGCCAACACAATTAAAATGAAGTTTAAAGTTGGCCAACTTCTTCTCAATACTTGCTATTTGATAATTGTTTTTCTACATAAACTTGTCCATTTTAAAGTGAGGACAACTTATAATTGATAATTGTCTCTTCCTAATTGTTACTTGCTATTTGCTAATTGAGGGTGCATGAAATCACCATTAGTGGAAGAGCAACTTCTGTCGACAAATGAATCCAGTAAAAAAAAAATGTAGTTCGGAAATGTGGAAAAAGTATTTTACGTAGATGCCTATGACGAATCTGAGAAATTGGCCGATGGCAATCGGTTCTTTTCAGAAGTCATTATTTTTGCTTGTGCTCGAAAATATACAAAATAATTTTACTGATGATTGGCTTATATTTTCTCTGCAAAAATGGTTCCACTATTGCTACCATCACATTTTGGATTGTTTGGGAATATTCTATAAATGACGGAACTCTTTGTAAGTAAAGTCTCTAGTAATAGTCTCTAGGGGTATTTGTCTGTCATTTATGGACTGCTCTACTTATACAGTTCTATAAACATACTTCTAGTTTTTTAGTACTTTTTACTTTAATTTTGGTACTAACTTTTTTTTACTTTGCAAGGAAATTTTCATTTTGCTCTGCATGTACTCGGCATAATTTTAGTTATGTTGTGTTTGTGTGTCGAGGAGCAGTGAAAGACAGTATTTTTGTTCTGGTATGGGAATAGTGTTTTCAATAAATTCTTGATGATGACAATATAATTTGCAACATATATAAAAATCAGGATTATGTTAGGAAGGACAACAACCTATTGACTCTATTGTAAAAAGGGACCATGAATTGGAATAAGAATGATATACTTCTCGGTATAAACATTTTTGTATTTGTAAATGACATGCTCAGTTGTTTCAAAACCTGAATGTTTCACATTTGTAATAGTGTATTTCAAAACATAGTGTTTGAAAAACTGGTATGCGTTTACATTATACTGGCAGTTTTTTTCCAAAGCTATAATAGAGATCTACTGAAATGTATAGATCATCTTTACACAGAAAGTATTTTTTTAATGATGTGTTTAGTCTTAACCTCACATACACACACAGACCAATATGTGAATGGATGGTGAAGTGAGGACCGTGGAATTATCTATAAGATTCCGAGGACACAGTGATGGAGACGTCTCAGACCAGTGTCATTTACATTACTGACAATGAAATTTTATAAGCATTTCCAAAAGTCTCTCAGATTTTCTGAAATTGCGAATGGAAAAAATTGTGTGTTTCTTCCGAGGACTCCGTAACTGCCATGGGCTGTGAGGACTCTTCAAATACGCGCCTTTTTCTAGGTGTGTGATGGGATGACTTCATTTGTACGCCGATGTGGGAACCTCATTTGCATCATGTGTGTAGATGTGAGGACCTCATCTGCATTTGTGTGTAGGTGCGAGAACCTCATCTGCATTTGTGTGTAGGTGCGAGGACCTCATCTGCATTTGTGTGTAGGTGCGAGGACCTCAAATGAAATAAATATTGTAGGATTGTTTGAAGATCATTGGCATTGTATTTTGAAGGTCGAAGAAAACAAAAAATGCTGTTTTTCGTTTTTTTCGAATGGAATTGTTATTTCGGAGAATATAAAAAAATAAAATGAGAATTTTATTGTATTCGAACTCTACTATGACGATATAATAATAAATATTGGATAAAACGTTTCGTGTCTACATAGCCACCATCAACTGATCTGTCTTCTTTATTCCAGATATTGATAAAGCAATAAATTCACAATCTAAGGCTATCACATTAGATATTTTTATAGCGTTCCATTTGAAAGAACTACCATCATCAGTGACAACAATTTTAAATTATGGTCCTGTCGTTACTCCTTTTGTAAATTGTTTCGATTTCTTCAAAATATAATTCAGACAACCCAACCCAGGGTAGGTACCCTGACACAATAAAAATTCGTACTTTCGCGTTCTGGAAATTTTTGTATTGCCTTAATCTTTCTTTCAAGGCTTATTTCTCTCTAATCAATTATAATTCATAATATTTTTATAATTCTCAATCTTGGAAGTAACTAAAATATTAGTTTTTGCTCAAAACTCGTTAATCTGTTGAGAACTGTGTGAGGAATCAAATAAATGTTATGGGTAAGCAAATATTACCACATAAAAATGTACACAGTGAAAACATTTTTTTTAAATTCAGGATTGACCATTTACAAAAATTATGCTAATCAAGATTGTTCTTTACGAGAAATTGCAACTTCCAATAGGGAAGTTGGAAATATTTGTAAAAAAATAATATGGACAGACCAATCAAAATTCACCAACAATTGATGGTTTAACAGAAATATCCATTAGAGGTGGAGCAATACAAATGAACATTTATATAGGGAAACTAAGGTTCGGAATAAATGTTTGATTGGGAATTGTGGAAACAAACATCCTTGGCCCTTTCTTCTACCATGATCATTTGAATATTGAAATGTATATTTTCTATTCAATGAATTCGATGGCTACATAGATGAATTGCCACTGAATATCCATCATGAAATACAAAATTTTCAACAGGAAGGCGCTCCTCCTCATAATGCAGCAATAGTAAGAGAACATTTAGATGCAATATTCCCAAGAAAATGGATTGGAATCAGTGGACCAATTAACTGGCCAGCTTGATCCCCAGATCTTACCCCTTTTAAATTTTTTTGTCTGGGGATACATAAAGGATAACATTTTTCCATGTCATGTCACATGTATTTATTACACTATTATGCTAAAAAATTGGCACTCGAAACTTATTTTTGAAAATTTTTGGCTACAAATTTTTGCGATCATCGCAAAAATTTGACGTCTCCTATATGCTCAATTTTGTGTTCTTTTTCTTTGTTAGGGTCTCCACATCTGAAAAATGGTGCTCAATTTTGTGTTTTTTCTCTTTGTTAGGGTCTTCACATCTGAAAAATCCAAGTAGAAGTTGACCAAATAAACAAATTGAAACTCTCACAGAAGCAGCTAACTTGAAAAAATCCAAAACTGCATTTGGGTGCAAAATTATTTGAGCGAGAAAGAGCACATAAATCTACTCGGGGAGAAGAATGAATGCCATCAAATAAATTCTTTGGCATTAGGTTCGTTAACGGTTTATAAATAAATACTGTTATTAACAAATAAACAAATACCCAAAAAAGGTCGATGAAAAACTGGTTATTAACAATTCTTACCAAAAATAAATAAATAAAGTTATAAACAAGTTTCACCAACAAATCATCGCGAGGGTAATACCACAAAGGCTCAGATGTAGCCGAATATTTTTTGTGGTTGTTGTCGAATACTTACTTTTATTGGCAATTTAACGAGAGCAAAACAGATAGAGCTAAATTACCGATATACCTAAGTATGGAAAAACCATAAAAAATATCTATCCTATGAATAGAAAACTAATTTCAGGTAAACTCCATTCAACCAATTAAAAGAACAATGAGTAGAAGAATAATCTTTAAAATACCAGAATATTATTTGCTGTTTAATTATGTTTTTGACATTTACAATAATTGTCAAACTGATGAGAGGCGCAACGCTTGATGAACGAACAGTAAATGCTAGCGTTACTACGGTAACGTTATTTATCAGATATTTTCATCCACTTGCATTTCTGTTTCATCCTATTTAGCCGATAGCACACTACGATTTTTGTACTCACAAATGAAAATTATTACATGTGAGTGGGATTGTCAAAGCAATACGAGCGCTTCAAATTTTATCGAGTATTTTTTTAACGATCCTGTCAGCCAATCGTCATGAGAACAAATCTTAAATCACCATTAGCATCAAAATTCCACTGAAAAATTTCCTACATGTGTAAAAACGTCCATNAATGTGATATTTGATCTGGACGTATATCGAGGTACATTAAAATTAATTTGGGACAGTAGAGTTGGTGAGTCAATGGGACCATTGACCAGTTTATAGATGAGAATGAGATCTGCAATTTCTCGTCTTTCTTTCAATGTTACAAAATTAAATTCAGTCAGAAGGCAAGTATATTCATAATTTCTAACCAGATAGTTTCCATGTTTCTTATAATACGCAAACTTGAGGAGTTTCTTCTGAACACCTTCCAAAGCATCAATGTATTTTATTTGATTAGGATTCCAGACAGAACCACAATATTCTAGTTTACTACGTACCAAACTATAGTAAACTGAACGAATAGATTCAAATGATCTAAACTCTTTGCAGTTTCTTATAACAAATCTTAGCGACTTAGAAGCTCTCTGAACAATATTTTCAATGTGCGCATTAAATGTAAGTTTATTATCGAATAAGATTCCTAAGTCGAGGGTATCATTAACTCTTGGTAAGTTGACATTATCAATTGTATAATTGAACTGGTATGGATTTAATATACGAGCAAAAGTCATAATTTTACACTTTCCAACATTTAGAAAGAGTTAACTCTCACAACACCACTTTTGGAATGGTGAAACTTTATCGAATGCCTTGCTGAAATCTGTATAGATTACATTAACTTGACATCTATTATCTAAAGGGTTGGATATGAATTGAGTAAATGTGCAGAGATTTGATACAGTTCCCGTCATTTTCATTAAGCCATGTTGAAATTCTGAAATCGAATTTCTCACATGTGCATAAATCAA